ATATATATATATATAACACGGTGAAAAGAGAAAATAGTTCATTGAGCGGGAAATAGAACTGTAATGATTAATTATCCGGAAGCAGTTATTCAGAATATGCGTCGTTTCTCAATATCGTATATACAGCATGACACTTAGTTGGGAATATGAGAGGTGAATACACTATTTATGGATTACAAGAGCTAAAAGAATGCTCATCAACGAGTTACTCAGGGAAAAGCAGATGCACACTACTGCTAAGCATGATCATGACTTCTGTTTGCTTTCTGACTCATCCTATTCATGATTCGGGAAGCATCATTAAGTCTATCTGCTCTCTCGTAGATGCTAGCAACAACAAGATGCAATTCCTTCTTGTTTATGTTAGGATTAGAATCCAGCTTCTCAAACAAAGAGTCTACCATCATGAAATCCTTTCTTGCACCATATAGACTCAGCATCTGGAAATGAACTTCATCCGGAAAAACACACCCTTCTTCATGCATCTGTCTATATAAAGCATCTGCCTTATCAAATTCACGCAGCTTTCCAAAAGCATTCAGCACGAGAGCAATAACATCAGAATCAGGAAAATATCCCGCCTCACTCATTTTCTCAAACACTTCAACCACATTTCCATACTTTTTGTTCCTAGAGAAAAGATTAATCATGCACCCAAACACAGATATATTTTTTACCTCTCCAGCATCAAAAGCCTGGCGGAAAACCCAGGTAGCCTCTTCAATTCTACCAGCTCTGGCGAGAATTGCAATTGCAGTCTCCCTGGGAATGTTGTCCGGTCGCTTGAGCTCATGAAGTAGACGCTTTGCATGAGCAACTAAACCCGCCCTCTCATATGCTACAATCATTGTCTGGTAAAGAACCTCATCAATTCGAACGCCTGAACTCCTTAATTTTTGAAACAAGATGGCAGCCCGGTCCAGCTTCCCAGCCTTTTCCCATATAGATATTATGGTGGAATAAGTGATTGCATTGGGTTCGATACCCCTTTTCTTCATTTCTTGAATGAGATTGGTAGCCTTCTCGTGCTCAAGAGTCTTGCCATAGATATTAATCATGGTGTTGTAGGTGACGACATCTTGCTGTACATCCTTACTTTGCATCAATCGAAACAGATGGATGGCTTCCCCAAACAACTCAGCCTCTCCATAAACCCTCAAGAGAGTGTTATAGCTAACCACATTGGGTTGAATCCCCATTTTCCTCATGCTCCAGAAGAGGCGGTCGGCTTCCTTGGCCATGTGAAGCTGGCCATAAACATCAATCATGATGTTACATGTGGTGAGGTCAAGGGGGCATTTGGCTTCATTCATTTCAGAGAACAGAGAGAGGGCCTCAACAAACTTTTGGTTGTCAACGTAGATGGCAAGAAGCGTGGAATAGCTGACGGTGTCGGGATGAACGCCATTGTCTCTCATCTCACGGAGAAGAAGGGTGGCCTCGCGGAAGAGCTTGGCTTTTCCAAAGACATTGATCATGGAGTTATAGGCAATGAGGTCGGGGGTAATGGTGGAGGCTTTCAAGCGGGTGAAAATGGAAATGGCCTTGGAATAATCGCACAACTTGCGGGCAAGCTCAATGAGATTACTGTAGAGGACAAGGTCGCCGGGAACGTTGTCTTGCTCCATCTGCTGGAGCCAAAAGAGAGAAGAATCAAACAAGCCGTGTTTGCCGAAAGAAGTAATGAGGGTGGAGTAAGTGTACCTATCGGGGGAAAGGCCCTTGTGGCGCATTTCGTCGAACAGGCCGTGTGCGAGGTGCCACTGCTTGGCACGAAGGACGTTGCGGAGAACGACGTTGTAGGCGAAGAGGGAGGGAGAATAATGGGCCTTGTCGTTGATCCAATCGAGGAGGGCAAGAGCCCGTTGCCAATCGGGCTCGCGTGAGAGAAGGGAAACCATGAAACGAATGGAAAGCTGCCTGGCGCTGTAGGGGGACATTACCGCATACAGTTCATCCTCGTTCTGGGTCTGCCCAATTGCAGCCAGTAGCTCCTCCATGTCCACGCTGCGGTCCAGGTACCTGTTCGTGTTCGTGCTCGTGTTGGACGATGATGTCCGGCTCCACACATCTTTGCCTGTGGCTGCTACTGCTACGGAAATAGCACGAGTGCCGTTGCCAACTCTCGTTTTGGGATAACAACATATCCCAGGCCACCTCACAAGGATTGAACTTGACACTGTGTACATCTTCAATCAACTCTATCAATATGGATATGGTTATAGCTATGGATCAGACTGGCTACTGGCTATTGCTGCGAATTTTTTTCTAAAATAATTTAAAATATATATATATATATATTTACACAGATGGACCCTTACCCAAAATATTTACCAAATTAATACTCTTCATTGTTTTACCATTTCAGTTCTCGAGAAATAGAATTCTGAATGGTGACTTTGCTATAATGAGATGCGGTGGCTATTGAAATTCAGTTTCCGAGAAACCGGACTCCGGGCAGTCGTGATTTTTTTTAAATTGATTTTTTTTTAAATTAAAGTTTTTAAACAATTGAAAAAATATGTAATATTTAAATAATATTTGTTTAATAATATTTTAAAAAAATTAAGTTAAGTTTTAAATTTAATAAATTAAAAATATAATAAGTTATAATGTTAATAAATAAAATTTTTAATAAGTTATATTTATAATAAATTACAATTTAATAAATAATAATTGTAATAAGTTATTTTTATAATAAATTAAAATTTTAATAATGTATAATTTTAATAAGTTAGAATTTTAATAATGTATAATTTTAATAATGTATAATTTTAATAATGTTTAATGTTAGTAATTTATAATTTAATAATTGATAATTTAATAAATTATAATATAATAATTGATAATTTAATAAATTATAATTAAATAATTTATAATAAATAATTTATAATTTAATAATTATCAAATTAATAACTTAACATTGATAAAGAGAGAGTGCATTAAAAGTAAAAATTCATAACATTAAGATACAATGAATTATATAAGGTTTTTAATCTCCGTAATGGTATCTAGTTCCACAACGAGGGCGATGTCTGTTGCGGCCTAGGTTACGCCGTGGAGGTTGTTGCTCATTAGGATTTGGATCATCATCAAGGACTGGTTGTTGGAATGCAGCTGAAGAACTACCGGGTTCATTATAAAATTCGGTTGGTAAAGAGATTGCATATATGATTGTGCTGAAGATGGAATTCTAAAATCTACTCCAAATAAATTTGTAAAAAAATCCTCTTAAGTTGTTGCAAACGAATGTCTTCTATTAATTATGTTTTCTTGTGGCGTGATGTCGTGTGGAGGATTTGATACATGCTGATGAGTCTTTTTATACGACGGCATGGAAGTTGCACCAGTTTCAAATGTCGTGGAAGTCCTTCGTTGTTGATGGGTCCTTGGATTTTGTAGTAGTCGTGGCACAGATAGAAAATAAATGGAATTGGTCATGTACCATTCCATGTATTCTCGTGTGTGAAACAATAGGTCTTGCATTGGATGACCCATTAATGTGTGCTCACGTCTATTATTCCACATGTCGATCCATTGAGCATGTTTTGTAACCCAATTTTTATCTTGTTTTCTCCTCATGTCAATTTTGTGTAGGTTATCCAAATTATTGGGTGGAGAATGGATATTCTGGAAAAGACGAAATTGTAATTTTACTCTATCCGATTGGTGCCATTCAACAATTGCAAAATAAATGATGGGGGTACATGAAGTCCACAATTGGGCATCTTTATATGCTTGCATGGGTATTGATGTTTGCAAGCCTTGATATGGAGCCCATAAAAATTACAAATAAATTAAACTTTGTTACTTTAGATAATATGCTAAACAAAAGAAAATAAGAAACAAATAAAACTTTGTTATGAAGATTTACCTGATCAGCTTGAATGTGATCAAACCTTGATCTATATCTGACAACATCATTATGAGGTACATTTCGAAAGTTTAGTACTCTACTCCCGCTCCATTTGAAGACTAATGGGAATGTTGGTGGTATTATGGAAATTGGCAAATATATGGCATGCAATGCCATGCCCAGGACTATAACAATGATGCACAACCACTCATTGTACTGCTCATAACATTTGTGGCTTTACACATAACTATATCGTCGTGTTCTTCTAAGACATTAATAAAAATAAATATATAAGATGTACCTTATTGCCTATTTTGTTAGACATCAAAACACCTTCTATTAAACCTAATATATATACCCTACAATGTGCATGAAGTTCTTCTTGAGATGGTTCGTCTGGTAATTCCAACATATTGTCTCTTAACCACTTTAGCTTTATCATAGAGCCAATTAGTGACTCTCCTTTAACAGACACAATGCTGAGATATGTGGAACACATATCCTCCCAATCATATAATGTTAGGCCAATGACTGGTAAACCATCAACTCTTAGGTGGAGTTGAAGTGCAACATCCTCCAGTGTTATCGTGCACTCCCTTGTTGGAAAATGGAAGGTGTGAGTTTCAGGTCTCCATCTTTCGACCAAAGTTGTCACCAAAGCGTGATCCACCTTGAGATGCCTGAGGTTTGCAACCCTAGAAAAACCAATTTCCTCTAGTCTAGGAACAATTATAGGGTGGGGTTCTGGCATTGAATGACAGTAAGAGAAAATAATATTTTCAGTCTCCTGCAATAATTAACAAAATTAGTACCATTATGTGTAAGAGGTTAATTGAAATTTTAAGCAAATAACGATGGTGTTCAACTTACCGTTCACGATTCTAATCAACTCTAATTAGGTATTGAATTATATGCTACCTTTACTACAATTGAATCACATCCACCACAATTTTCACCTTCACCTTCACCTTACGAAATTTACCAAACTTACCAAAACACAAACCCATCTAGTCTTTCTTATGATATTCCCTCTGATTACGACATTGAGTCATACACACAACTTTTAATTGGTCCATTCATGGACCTTAATCAATTACCTTCTCAGCCATTTGACCAAGCTACACCCTCTCCCTCTCAACCAAATGTTCAAACCAACATTGAAGAACATCTTCTTGTTGGTCTCCCAGTTGAAAATGTCTTTGATCCCTTTAGCGAGGACGAAGATAAAATCCTCTCTCAACATTTAGATGATGATGAAGAAGAAACCCTCTCAGTTCCAATTAATCCACCAATAGAACCATTACCCATATACAACCCACTTCCACAATTTTTAGACTTCCTCACTGAAATCCAACAACATGACACTGAGTATAGCCATCTCTTGGAACTTGAAATGGTTGTCTATCCACGTAGAACACTATTTGTTGGCCAACGCTTCCAAACAAAAGA